ACCAATAGCAGCATCTTTCTCTCCTCTCCTCTGGCAGCAGAAAAAAGTAGGAGGGTGTCTCCTCCTAGGACCTTCTTAACACCCTACAGAGACTGTTTCCTGTTCATACAGGACGGGAGAATGCATTTCATTACCGGCAAACTTTAGCTCTTGCCTTTATTTTGTAACCCTTTAGTTTTAATCTCTCAATGAATCTTTCTCCTTCTCTGGGGCAGGGCAGCAGTGACTGTGCCTCCCCTTGGAAATACTTGGTTTAACCAATGATTTTTTCCCATGTATCCGCCTCGGTTGTCTGTGACAGGGAAGTGTCCTTGTGCACGTGAAAATAGAAGTGGAGCTGCCTGATCAGGGATGGCCTTCAGTGTTGCTAACAGCAGACTTCAGTGCACACTTTTCAGTTGTGACTTGCAGCTTAAATTTAATTTGGCTGAACCTCTCTAGGTGTAGCCATGGGGAATATTAGAAAAATATTAGTGAATTGGAGTTGTGACTATTGTCTTTATTATGCCCTTGGTAGAATGCAGCGTAGGCTCAGCTCTGTGTATTACTTGGCTTCTTTTAATTAAGGTTTCCTGTGAGAACAGATGTAGCACAGGCATTGCTGGTTCTTGAGCATACAAAGTTTTGTCTATGCAGTAGTAGGCCTGAAGTTAAAAGTAACGGTCTCAAAGCCAGCCTTGTAAATAACTTGGAAGGGATTAAAATGTCATCAAATGTTTTCTGGTGGCCCGTGTGTTTGTGAGGCTTCAGAATAGTTTGCCCTGGAGTCTATGTAACTTGGAGAAGGCACGAGAATGCAGAAATTGGAAAAACTTGCACTGGAAGACAGCAAGTAGCAATAACTTGGCAGCTTCAGTTGCTGGTTCCTCACCCACAGTATGGCCATGTCTATTCACAAGATACCTGTCACGTTAGAATTCTAAACTTTGTGCTACAGTTTTGGTTTTTGGGTTTTTTTTGCGTAACTGCATCAACTAGAAGTAACATACCAGTGCTAATGACATTTCTTTGTGCTGATGGAGAAGGCAGCTTTTAACAGTTGACCAAATTACTCTACTTTAGCTCTGCTAGCATATACTGCATCTCCAATAGTGTGCAGGGCAAGACAGTAGGTTTTTACATGATACTTTGTGATACTAAAGGAGAAAGAACACTCTTAGCTTGTCAGTGGAAGCTAAGGCAGGATTGTTGCTCTCAAGTCCTTTCCCATTTCCCAAATGGTTAAATAAGAATCGCTTCTTTGAGGGGTGTGGAGTCTTCAGCAAAATAGGTTCCACAGGAGATTTTCCTTAATTCCAAATCTTCCTTTAATTTCATCTTGTTAGACTTATAGCGTTTCCATGCACAAGATGTAACAATTCCTGATTGATTTGTTCACGTTGTGTGGTTATATTAAAGTAGGTGATGTATGGGAGGCATACCCTATGTGTGGGTTTGTCTGCCTCCCTTGATGCTTCTCTCAGTTGGGTGTATGTGACTGGAAGCTGAGCAGCTGGGAACAGACCGGAAATACACCTTGAGTGTGGACAACATCCTCTGTTTAGGCTGTTAACAGTTTGGGAAGCTGAGGAAGGCTTTGGAGTCACTAAGTTTTCAGACTTTTTCCTGGTTTTAAATTTTTCTCCCATACTGCCTTCATATAATGGCTTACTACTGATACAGTGAAGTGATTCATTCCTTTCTCCTCTAACCCCCACTCTTCCCCCCAGCAATTCAAGAAAGGAAAATAGGCAAGAAGTAAACTTCAGGTGTTTTCTTACAGATTTTACACTTTAACTGGTTAGCATTAGCAAGATTATATTGGTTCTCTAGTGCTGAGTGTCTTTTTTGATAAGGTATTTGTCTCGGTGAAGGTTCTTGGCTTCTGTGTTTTCATGGGTGATGCTGATTCTACTTAAAATTCATATACCTCCTTGGCTGCTCAGGTTTAGCAGATTGGACTGGGACTAGTGGTAGGCACAAGTTACAGGAGAACTTTTTCTGAACAAAAGCCTGGAGCTCAGAAGCACTTTGATTGCAGCTGCATCTAAAATAACCACCAGCACTTTCCTGAGTTCTGTAATGTCTAGGAATCTAAATTTTGTGGGCTACTAGCTCAGAAAGCTGTTTCAACAGGCAGATGGGGAAAAGTTTTCAGGGGCTGGGAGCTCGTCTTCTGTCTGTTACCACATTAGGGAGGCAGTCTGTCAGTAACTACTCTTTCCGTGTTTGCTGCTGAGAATTCCTGCCCTGCTTAGAGGTTCTGGTCTGAGATTATTTTGTGGTAAGGGGCTTCTAGTTATGAGCTTTGTGAATACAGAGGATCAGAGTACAGTGAATACGGAGGATCAGAGTACATTGACCTTGTCTCTTCTAGAGCACAATGCAAGATAGATTTATTTTTTTTTAAAGAGGAAGCTGCTTTTTTTTTCTTCTTAACTGCAAGTATCTCTATAGACCAGTCAAATAACCGAGCAGAGGAAGAGTGGAAAGATCTCATTTGGGGGACACTTGAGTTTCTCAGTTCTTATTTTTGCTGCCTAGGTATGCTGGTGACTAGTAAGCATAGGAATGAAATAATTGATGTCATAAGAAATATTTCCAGTTATGGGTACAAAGAAGTTGAAACTGACAGCATTGGTAGCGGCTCTGTTCTATCCAACGCTATGTAGGCTTGTGATTGGGTATGAAGGCAATTTTCCCCTTGATGAAAGCTACAGCAGAAAATGTTAAGGTACAAATGAACAGAACACTTATTGTGACCTGAAAGAAGGACTCTCTTTGTGCTTATAGGATTACTCTGCTTGTATGGCATTTGTACCTCTGGTTATACGCTGGACCTATTATCACCAGACGAAGGCTGTTCTGAACAGATAGCTTGAAGAAAAATTGACCAGTACTAAAGTACCCTGTGGTCTTCTCCATCCCCCGAGTGCCAAGTCCTTTGTTAGCGCTCTCTCCTGTGTGATACACTGACTTGCAGCTCCCCTTCCCAACCTTAGCGCAGTATACAGAAGTGGAAGGGTTTTGTTTTTTTTTTAAATGCCTTCATTTGGAACTAGCGGAGAGCTTTAATCCCAAAGAACAGAAGTCTCCCAGGGTGAGGCAGGAGTGCCCTAGCTGCACTAATCTGCTTACAGGAGGTGCTCACACTGTCCCAAGGTACATTCTGTTTGTCAGGGTCACTGCTGCTGACCAGCTTTTTTATAGAGGACTCAGAGTTTCAGAAATATATTTTTGTAGACAATGACTAAAACTGTGAAACATTGAAATAAAGCATGTAAACAAAAACTTACAGCACTGTCCTCTGTACAGATGTCTTTCTCACTTCAGTTCTCTCCTGACTCATTAGAAAATGTTTGATTACTTCTTGGATATATTTTAATAAAGTTCTCCAAAGAACACGGCTGCTGTCTATGGAAGGGGTGGCATTAGATACAATATTGAAGGGGAGGGTTGAAAACTTGTACAGGTGAGTGTCTGCATCAGTCCTGCTTTTCTCAAATCAGGTAAATTGGATCTTCCACACAATCACTCCCTGGATCAGCGATTCTCACAAATGGCTTGCTTTGGATTCTGGAGCACTGACCATCAATCAAGGCTGTGAAGGTGGCAGACTGGAGAAGAAGCCACCTTCCACGGTTAAGGGACAGCTTTGGATGTAGCCTGGTGGTTACTTATGTGAGCTCTCATAAGTTGAAATTGTGGTAACTGGTTTTGCAGCCTTTTAAGTCTGTAGTTTAAATATACTTGTGCAAACAGCAGTAACTGTCTTCACCTTATTACAGTAAAATAGTTTTGTGGGCTGATTTTGTGTATTAATTTCAAATACTATTTTCTCTAACATATAATAAGAGTCAGTGCAACAGAAATAGCATAGAAAAGTAGTTAGGTACTTCATAAATTGAAGTTAATTCATGGTTTATGGCCTACACTCCCTGTGTTGATGAATAATGAAAGTTGGGAACCTCTTCCTGTTCTTGGTGGGTTATTTGTCTAGCTGGTGCTGCACGCCTTGCAATATCCAGCACCATGCTCGGGAGATGCGATACGGGAAATGCTGGCCTGCTTTGTCATGGCAATTTCAGTCTTGGAGCTGGTGGAATGGGAAGGGGATATAGGACCACTTGGAATCTTCCACATGGTGGTACTATTTCTAATACATAGCTAACGATCTTACTGTTTCAGTAAAGAAACTTAAGGAACGAGGGCAAAGGCCAGTCTTCAAAGAATGCATTGCTGATCATGGATTTACTATAGCAATCACTTAGATGCAAGACACAAAGGCTCTGCTACTCTTCAGTAATGTTTCATGTAGGTACTGGCTCCTCTACCTTTTTTTTTTTTTTAAAGAAAAAACATGCAGATGCTATACAGCAGAGGATAGAGCAGAGTTCTGATGTTGGTGCTTAAGTTCTATGTTGCTCAAAATACTAAAGGCGGACCCTTTCGAATCTTCTCTTGATGGGATAATCTGTCTTAGAACCTGTTCACTGTTTTATCTGCATGCCGCATTAGGACTAAAATCACAACATAGAATACAGATAATGGGATGAAATGATGAAATACACTTCTGAGGATAGTCACATTGAACAAACTGGTACTGGGCATCGCCTTCATTATTTCCCAGTACAGTAAATCACATCCTCTAACCAGAAAGTAACAAAGATGACATGTCAGCTTCTTAAAACAACTTGGTCCAATCACTTTGAATAAATGAGCACAAACCCAAGTGATTAGACCCTGCTGCTGATAATTCAGTGTCAAATGTGACTCTCCTAGAGTGAGGAAACAGTGCATGCACAAAACACCAACTTATTTCCACAGGAATATCATTGTTCTGGTACGGAGTATAGCATCTGCTCCTCATTCCAGTTTCTGTCAGTGCTACTGTCACTTTTCTGCACAAGCAGGAAGAGATGGAAAACTGCCTGTCATTTCTCTCACTGTAGGATTCTGAAGTATTTTGTGGTTGTTCAACCACAAGCAGGTTTAGGGCGTTGCAGTATTCTACATGAGAACTGTTCAAATGTAATCTGATGTAACTGTTCAAATCATGACAGGTGCATACCATTAACATAATGATTTCATATCTTCATCAACTTCTAAATAAATGCCTTTTCAAAATCTGCCTCACTGAAAAGCAAAGCACCTCGACCTGTGGTGCACTGCTGTCACCCTGGGACCAACAGCGTTTACTCGTGCCAATCTGAAACATTCCAAACTGCAACCCAGATCCCGCCTCTCAAGTTGCTATTATACAGTTTTTGTGTGTGTTTACCTCGAAATTTAGGTTAAAAGCTCCTCAATTTCTGTGATAAGTTCAGATTTTGAACGTGGCGTTAACGAGAGGCCAGGCCTGCCGCGAGAAGGCCGCCTGCTGCGGCTCCCGCCCGCTGACCGGCTCCGCTGCCCCGCTGCGGGGCATGTTCCTCCGGGCGGCCCCTCAGCTGCGCGACTGCTCCGCTTCCCGCCGCCGCCGCCCCTCACGGCTCCCGGCGGCCGCCGGGCGCGGGGCATTGTGGGGCAGAGGAAGAGGGGGGACTGCGCGAGCGAGGTGCATGCTGGGATCGGGGCGGGCGGCGCTCGGAGGCCCAGCGCGGGGCAGTCGCTTGCTCGGTGTCTCGGGGCGTCGGCGGTGACCGGTGGGCTCGGGC